CCCGCTTCCGATACCGACGTCCACGGCGGCCCACTCTGGATGGCCCACTCTGGCCTTTCCAGGTCGCCCCTCTCCAGGTCGCCCCTCCACAGGTCGCCCCTTCCGCAACGTGGGCCTGAGGAGGAGCATGCTCTGATACCAATTGTTATAACCCTTGGGTAGAACTCATCCCCAAAAGCTAGTTTGTAGGGAGAGGGTGCCCAAATGGTTATAAACCCACATGCTAAGCCCATACTTTAACAATGTGGACTCAACCAGGATATCCTAACAATATATATATATATATATATATATATATCTTGCCTTCATCTTCGCCTTGCCTCTGCCCAAAGAATCCGCTATCTTTCTCTCTCTCTCTCCCACCTTCGCCGTCTTGCCTTGCTTCCGCCTTCCACCGCCTGCCGTCTTGAGCCGCCTTCTGCTCTTCATATTTAGGTATGATTTTTTGTATTTCTTCTTTTGTTAAATTTTTGCATTTCTTCTTTTGTTAGTTGTTAACTATGTTTAGAGAATACAATTTTGTTGTGGGCATGTTGATTCTTAGAACATATTAGTTTTGTTTAATGTCTAATGTTAGACGAGGGTTTTTTCTTAGGTTATTAATAATCTTAGCTGTTTATATTTGTTCCTCAAACTTATATTTATTTTGTGTTAATAATATATGTCATAAATCTGACTAATTATATATATATATATATATGTTGATTCTTAGCTTAGGTTAGTTTTTTACGTTGTTTAGTTTTTTTTTTTTTTTTTGTTATTTGATTAAGTTATACTTTACTCTTGAACTTTTATACTTTTATACTATTAAGTTAAAAGTATAACTTAACTTAATCACATGATATTAGTATAAAAGTATAACTTAATCACATGAAATTAATCAAAAGTAAAGTATAAAAATTCAAACCCATATATACACTTTAAGTGGTATTTTTCTCATTTTTCTAAAAAATTAAAAAAAAATAAAAAGCATAGGAATGTGTGTGCCCAAAAAAGAAAACTAAAGAGGGTAAAGTGTAATTTTCCCACATTTTTTTTTGTTTTTGTTTTTGTTTTGCTATGCGTACAAGGGCAGATAAGATGACCTTATCAGAATAGCACTTTTCATCTATTTGTTGGTGTATTTTATAAGTTATATAATATTATTATCTTATATTCACCTAAGACATTGTGACGTCGTTAAGACAAACGTAACGGATCCCAAGACTTTTTTAATGCGTATGTGAGAGTATCACCCAACAGACTTCTTGACGTTAAGACATAACGGTAACCAAACAAACGACCCCAAGAAAATGGCGGGACGCCTTAGATCCAATTCCAATCTAACTGTTTTTCAAAACAAAACTTCCCCAACAATATGATCAATCATTTTGCTCCCCCAAAATTAGTCCTCCAATTTTCTCTCTCTAAAAAAACTCTCTTTCTCTCACTAAATCCTTCCAAATGGGAAGCTGCGTGTCGGTGGCCGACAAAACCGGGCTCCATAAGCGGCGGGGCGCGGTGGATGGCCCCGAGTTCGACCTCGGAAAGCTGATGCGCCACTCGGGGAACATCCTCCGCTCGATCTCCATCATCGAGGACCCCACCGGCGACAACGTCTACGCAAAGTACCTGTTCGGGAAGGAACTAGGCAGAGGAGAGTTCGGGATCACGTACCGGTGCGTCGCCGTCGACACCGGCGAGGCCTTTGCGTGCAAGACGATATCGAAGAGCAAGCTGAGGACGGAGGTGGACGTCGAGGATGTGCGGAGGGAGGTGCGGATTATGCGGCACCTGCCGGAGCACCCGCACATTGTGGCATTCAAGGAGGTTTATGAGGACAAGGAGGCGGTTTATCTCGTAATGGAGCTTTGCGAAGGCGGCGAGCTCTTCGATCGGATCGTCAGCCGAGGGCATTACACCGAACGCGACGCCGCAAGGATTACCAAGACCATGCTTGAAGTTTGCAAGGTATTTAATTTGTTGATTCTTGGATGATTTTTTTTTTTTTTTTTTTGGAATTTGTTTTTTTGTTAGGTGTCTAAAGAGAAAAAAAAAATTCTGATATATCGAAAATTAGAAGTTGACATAAAAAAAAAAGTTTTTATTACAAGTTGAGGACAATATGAAAACTGGGTTTTTACAGAAAAAAAAGAAAAATTCTGGATCAAAATCCTTAATTAAAAGAAATTTTCTTTAAAAAAAAAAAAAAAAAAATCTCTCATATGAATGTGGACACTTGACATACATGTACAGGTTTGCCATAAACATGGAGTGATACATAGGGACCTGAAACCAGAGAATTTCCTGTTCAAAGATGGCTGTGAAAATTCCCAACTCAAGGCAATTGATTTTGGCCTCTCCATATTCTTCAAATCCGGTAAAATTTTCCTCGACCAAAAGAAAATGCCTTCAAAATTACTCTAGCTAAACTGTATCCTTCAATTTGGCTCATGATAAATTACTAATTATTTACAATATGTCATTTGCTAGGTGATAGATTTAGTGAAATTGTTGGTAGTCCATATTACATGGCTCCGGAGGTACTAAGACGAAATTATGGGCCGGAAGTCGATGTTTGGAGTGCCGGGGTTATCCTCTACATCCTCCTATGTGGAGTTCCTCCTTTCTGGGCCGGTAATTATTTGTTTCTAAAAACTCTCTTTTAATAACGACTCACATCTATATTTGATATGATATTGTCTGTTTTGGCCTAACTTGTACAGAAACGGAGGAAGGCATTGCGCATGCAATTGTCCGCGGTAGCATTGATTTCGAGAGGGATCCTTGGCCAAAAGTTTCTGAGAAAGCAAAAGATCTGGTGAAGAGTATGCTTGATCCTAATCCTTACAGCAGGTTGACTGTTGAAGAAGTCCTTGGTACGCGTTTCTTACGACGTTTCTATGTAGAAAAACAAAAAGAAACCGTCATTCGATCAGGACTTTAATGCCTGAAAGATTGATTTTTGATGTAGCTAGGCACCTAGAAATCAGAATAAACATATAACTTTTGGTGAACAGCATTTTCTTCTTTTTATCTGACGTCTGATGTGCACTGTCTATTATTCCCTACATGTTACAAAACGAAAGAACATCCTTGGATACACAACACGGATCATGTCCCCGACGTTTCTCTCTGCGGAAATGTCAGAACAAGGATCAAGCAGTTCTCATTGATGAACAGATTTAAGAAGAGAGTTCTTAGAGTAAGAATTTGAAACCCGTTAATTTCTTCTTCCGCTGTTATTGTGTAATGTTAATTAACGGTTTCTCTCTTCGCTTTAGGTGGTGGCAGATAACTTGTCAGAAGAGCAAATAGATGGGATCAAACGGATTTTCGACACGATGGACACTGACAAAAACGGGAACTTGACGTTTGAAGAACTCAGAGATGGATTTCATTTGATTGGTCACAGTGTTACTGATCCTGATGTGCAGATGTTAATAGATGCAGTGAGTTTATTGTTCTAATTCAGACTTTCATTTTTTTTTTCCTCCCACATAATTTCAGAAGCTAAAAAACATATTCATTTGACAGAATCTTGACTCATATGCTCTTGTCCAATCTCCTTTGAAAATATAAGCACACCACAAATTTGAAGCTCATTTAAAAAAAATAAAAACCAGTCATGGGTTCAAGTGGAACATACAGCGTTCGTTCATGAGCCCTGAATTCTGTAGAATTACAAAAATACCCCTCATATTGCTGATCACTTGAGAATTCCACCCCGATGCGAAGACTCGGTCAAACAAGATTAGAAATAGTTTTGAAGAAAACGAATTTTCGAGATAAACTTGGCATCTTGTCTAATTTTGTGAATTAAAATTTAAGTCCACTCAAATTTAAAGGGATTGATAGTTGAAAGGGATGTTTGTTTTCAAAATTTTCTTAAGAGTACCAAGGTTAAATATCTAATTTCACTTAAACCTAGGGGAGGATTTTGTGATTTTCCTTTAATATTTACATTATGTATTACATAAATGCATCTCTTAACATTATGAAGCAGTCCCATGTCCCTCACACCTGACATTTTCTTTTTCCTTGTCTTCTGTTCAAAAGGCGGATGCAGATGGAAACGGCACGTTGAGTTGTGAAGAGTTTGTTACAGCTTCAGTTCACTTGAAAAGGATAGGCAGAGATGAACATCTCTCTCAGGCCTTCACTTATTTTGACAAGAACCAAAGTGGGTATATCGAGTTCGAAGAGTTGAGACAAGCCTTGCTTGACGACAACCTCGATCCGAACAATGATCAGGTGATTCGTGACATCCTCTTTGACGTCGACTTGGATAAGGTAATGCTCCGATCGCCATATTGTTTTCACAATCCTAAGATCAAATATTAGTATCAGAGTGTGCGATTGGATTCAACTCCCTTGATGATCATCATTCATTTGTTTTGATTTTTGCATACAGGATGGTAAAATAAGTTATGAAGAGTTCAAAGTGATGATGAAAACTGGCACGGACTGGAAAATGAGCTCTCGACAATACTCTAGAGCATTGCTAAATGCGCTTAGCTCCAAAATGTTCAAAGTCAAAGACAAATCATTGCAGCCAAAGAGTTTAAAGTCTTCTCCCTTGTGAACCCTGAAAATATATATATCAGCTGCTTAAAACATTTTCCTCGATCTTCCCGAAGACAACGAACGTCGTAAAAGAAAATGTCACAGAGAAGGAACCAACTGGATTCATGAGTGGACTTTTGTAGAGTGAAACTTTTATCCTTTTTCAACCAAGTTTCTGTCCAATACAAGAGGAACATAAGTGATTTTCTCTTGAAGAGGAAAGACAGATTTTACTTCTATTGTCTTTGTTTCAGAATTTCTTCCAAATGCCAAACGACAATACAGAAAACAATAGGTATGAGGCATTTGAATCGGGTTCAAAAACAGCAGGAACTCAAAATCGTTATACGTAATAATAATTTGGATAAAGAATTAATGGTTTTGACAATATAATGTGCACCAAAAACTTTTTTTTCCTTTCATATTTAATGATTTATTCTAGTTCCTCATTTAACATGAAAAGATGGCCTTACTTGTCACTACACCCTTCTAAGGCATGCCTTTGAAATATCTTCCTCATCTTTTTCAAACGACGCCCTTCCAAGGCATGTCTGTTACCTTGCAGACTTATGAGCCGTGCCAGAGTGAGTAGTGACTCGCAAGAAATAAGTCCAAACTTCGTAGTAGATTGAACTTCCTTCCTGAGAGCATCCTATTAATGATGCCCCAAATGGATACGGTAGCCTGATAAAAAAGAACAAAACTTTTAGCATAACTAAGATGAAAGTCCCAATAAACTACAAAATTGCAAGAAGCAAACCAAAGTTCTTATTCCAACTGCATACTCAGATGCACATTAGTTCCAAATGGCCAGGAGTATCTTAGGACCCAACAAGCTTACGAATAAGCTCTAATTATTTAAAATGTGGTATATTTTCAACTGACGGGTGTGTTGTTCTATTGTAGGAAGGTTCCAATTCAATAGAAGCAAGCTAATACAATAATGTTGATGGAAATCAGAAATGAGAATTAAAAGCTAATGCTAGGCATAAAAGATAAGAGCATAGGAGTTCGGACTATTTTATTTTATCATATTTTATCTCCAAATGTTTTACTAGAAACCTTTCTTGCTTTGTAAATTGTAATATATTTACGAAAATAAAACATGAGCTATTATGATATTTTTAGTGCTTTTGATCTTGTAATGGAAGTATTCACACAAAGTTTCGGTCCACCACCTTCATAATGCCACTCATGTACTTTCTCTTGAGTTGTCTCATCTCGACATTGTGCAGCACGTACGGCTTCATGACATGAAATACTCCATTTTGTGAGACAGCAATCTCTGACTGGAATCAGGGTCATTAGTCACCAATAATCCCCACAAGAACAATGTCCATCTTTGAAATGATGGAAGCGATTGGTGTCTCGGACAAAAATTTCTCTCTGTTCAAAGCTGGATATGAATTTTATAACAACATGACAATCACCACAGATTCTCAGGTTCTTAATTACTCTCAAGGAAGATCCCGGAGGGGTGTTCAGCAGCCCGAATGCCACTGCCAACTTCTCACTGTGCCCGCACAAAATATGCACCTTGTCCTGTTCCTCAACATCTTGCAGCACAAAGGTAAAGTTGGGAAAATAACCCGAATTCTTCATCTCCATACTCAATTTATTTAGCTTTCCAATAATTTGGATTCTTTGCGGGTGTGATTTGTCCCCTGCAAGAAGCATGTGCACTTCGTTTTTCACCTCAATCCAACTGCAGCCAGGATTCTTTCTAAGACCTTTCTGATTCATCATATCTCTCACTCTATCTACTTGGCTCCACATACCCTTCGAACCATAAATATTCGAAAGAATAACGTAGTTTCCCGGGTTTCTCGGCTCTAACTCAAAAAGTTTTTCAGCGGCAACCTCACCTAAACTAACATTATTGTGCACTCTACAAGAGCTTAGTAAAGACCCCCAAACACAAGCATCTGGTTCCATGGGCATCTTATTGATCAGTGAATAAGCCTCTTCAAGCTTTCCTGAGCGGCCAAGAAGCGTCACCATGCAGGCATAATGTTCTAGTCTCGCTTCTATACCATGCTCTTTTGACATGCTGCTAAAGTAATGCCACCCTTCATCTGTTAGGCCATTCTGGCTGCAAGCGGATAGAACACAAGTGAAACTGATAAAATCGGGTTTCTGTCCACTCTTCTGCATCATTTGGAATATCTCAATGGTTTCTCTTGCCTTTCCGTGCATTGCATATCCGCTCATAATGGCGTTCCAGCAAACTAAATTTCTCACGGGCAATTGATCGAAACAAAGCCGAGACAAGTGCAATTTCCCGCAATTCCCATACATGTCGATCAACGCACTACCGACATATAGGTTGTCAAAGATTCCCATTCGAAGAGAGAAACAATGAGCCGCCTTCCCATACGTTAGTGCCGCAATGTTGCCACACGCAGGAAGCATGCACGGGATTGTGACTGAATTAGGCTTAAAGCCCTCGAGCTGCATCTCCCTAAAGAGTTCCAACGCGTCCATATCCTTCCCGTTCTGAGAGCAACAAGCTATCACGGATGTCCACGACACGATATTCAGTTGCATTGCTTGTTGTTGGCGTTTGAATTTCCTGAATACCTCCAATGCATCCTCAACAAAACCGTTCCGTGAGAGCCCTGTGTAATCAAAGAAAAAAATATCAGTATGGATGAAAGCATTCATTTTGAACATAAAACTCTTGATTTATGAACATTCATTCACTCATATTGGTGTATGGTCATAATATGAGACATCATTGCCTGTAACAAAAGCATTGAAGGAGCCGACATCAATTTCCTCCATTCCAACGAAAACTCGCGACATCTCCAGCGCACAAGAAGACTTCCCGTACATGTCAATAAGCGCGCTGGTCACGCATTTGTCTGACCCGAATCCCCTCTTGACAACATAACCATGAACCTGGATCCCCACGTTCAAGTCCTCCAAGTCCCCTATCGCAGGAAGAACACTAGAAACACTAGACCCATCAGGAGGAACGCCTTCTGAATGCATCCTCCGAAACATATCAACCGCCTCCGAACACGAGCCGCTACGACTAAAACCCGAGATCATCCCATTCCACGTCACCACATTGGGCTCCAAACCGCCCATCCCCATGTCATAAAAAAGCCCCTTCGCCTCCTCCACTAGCCCACGGGAAGAATACCCAGATATCAAAGCACTCCAAGCGACCAAATCTCGTTGAGGCATTCCATCAAACAGTTTGCGCGCATCCCAAATGTGATCACATTTCAAGTACATATGAAGTAACGACGACTGAACAAAGGAATCTGAGCAAAACCCAAATAGGAATGCGAAGGAATGAAGCTGTTTTCCAACTTCCAAGGAGGGTAATCCAGAAGAGGCCTTGACAAGGCTGGGAAAGAGAAAAGCGTCGGGAAAGATTTGTCGAGACAACATGCGAGAGAAAAGGCGAAGAGAGAAGGAGAAGCGGCCGAGTTTGGAAGAGGCGTGGATGAGAGTGGAGAAGCAGAAGAGGTCTGGGTTGGGAATGGAGTCGAGGACGAGGTTGGCTTCGAAGAAACAAAGGTTGTTGGCGTAAAGAGAGAGGAGTTTGGTAGTGGTCGAGAGTTGGGCACTGTTGGATTTGAGAAGATAAGCGTGGAGTTGGCGAGTGAGTGATGGAGGAGTTGAAGGAGAATTCAGATGATCAAATATTTGCTCCAACAACTGCAGGCCTCGCCTTTTCATCTCTCTCTCTCTCTCTCTCGTCTTTCTCTCACTACTCTCTCTCTCTCTAGTCTTTCTCTCACTAAACTTTTGTTTCTTTCAAAAACCCGCGCCCGCCTCATACTTGTCGTGCCACGTCATTAGCCGCTAAATTGTGACAGAGTTCAGTTGAAAAAAAAAAGAAAACAGAGAAGGATATTAATATTTAATACTGAGTTTTTAATACGAGTTATATGTAATTTTATATAAAATTTTTGTATTATAATAAAAAAATTAAATTTATTTATTTTTAAAAATTTTTTATTATAATAAAATTTGAATGTGAAATGAACAGAACTGTTATTATAACCGTTGGCTGTAGCATATGGCCGTTAGACAAACTCTTGTATATAAGCTTGCTTTTAGTTTTGTATTATTCTAAGTGTGAAATATAGCAGAGCCACTCTATTTACACACATCCATCCATTCTTTTAAATTCAAATCTTAACAAGAAAAGAACAGTGGCGGAGGGGGCTTGAATTTTTTATATTTAATTTTTAGTATATGTTTTCTCAAAAAAATTTCATATATGGCCCTCTTATCAATAAAAATTTTAAATATATCCTCACAAAATCCAATCTCAAATTATTTTATTTCTTATTGTTCTTTTGATCTTTTCCTATTAAATCTTATACTTTAACTGTACCTAACTGATTTTTTTTTTCTCTAATTTATTCTTATGAAAACAATTTTCTTTCAAATTTGTCTCTTCTAAAATATTTCTGGATATAATCTAAGCTATATAAAAAATGACACATTAAAATATTTTTTCTCTAAATGTGTCCCTACTTAAGAATTTTTTTCAAACAACACTCTCAATTATGACTTTCTCACACGCACATTTTCTCTAATTTGCCCTTATTGAAGTAATATGTATTCATTCAAATGTGCCATGTATACTTAAAGATCTTTTTTTCTTCTTCTGACACTTGCAGCTACTATTTTCTCATATATACCTCCTAAATAGTTGTTATTATCTAATTTACTTGTTAAAATCTTTATTACTCAAGTATGTTCAATTGTCTATACATATATACTGTTCATCTAAAAATATTAGGAGTTAATTTTATTAGTATTTTTTACGTTTTTAGTGTAGACCCTCCTGAATTAAAATTCTAGCTTCGCCACTGGTGAGGACCATGTGTGGTTAGTAAGAATTAAAACTATGTTATAGTAGGAGAGTGTTAGGAAGAAAAGGAAAACTGGTATATATTTTTATTGAGATTTTTAAGGGTCGGATGAACGAAAATATTAATTTGGGACAATTTAATAGATTGAAGATTCATTTTGGGATGTTTTAAAAGACATTAATGCATAATGAGATTTGACCTATAGTTTAGGAACTAAAAATAAATTTAATTAGAAATTTTGAACATTTAAGTATTTGAGTTTTTAACGGTTGACGATCCATTTTGTAACAAATAAAACTTTTGGCAATTAACTCTTCGCTTTAAAAAAATTAAAAATAAGAACTTTACAGTGCATCTCTCATTCGTGACCCACCGATGGAGAAAGTTTTTTTACTGTTAGATTAAAATTTTAACAATTAGATATGTGCAAGTCCGTATAAAAATTTATAATGCGCCACATAAAACTGCTCCTACTGTAGATCTGACCGTTGAAAAATTAATCTAACAGTAAAAAACAGTTGCTCCACCAGTGGGTCAAAATTTTAGAATGCATCGTAAAGGAAGCTAAAAAATATATATATGTATAGTAAGATAACATATTGTACAAGGGTTTTTTATGTGAATGATTTTGCAAGGTTCATTCTTCAATAGAGAATTGAGATGAGCTAATGCATTGACGACAATGTACGCATTTGGTATGATTTCATTTGATTTTAAGAATGTTTATGCACGTCTTTTGAGACAACGAGACTGATTTCTAATTCGCGTTTGATTTGCAAATGCTTTGAAACCAAAAACGAAAACAAAAAACAATAAAAATAATTTTTGTGAAGAAAATAGAAAATGATTAAAAATTATTTTCACATTTCTCATTTTCTTAAACTTTAAGCATGAATCTTATTGCTAATGAAGCTTACAATTGAAGCGTAAAGGCATCTGATCAGAATTCAGAAATACCCTCCATCGAAAAAATTGCATATCTAGTTTTGTTTGAGTGTGCTTGTAATAGAGTTGTAAATTGAATTCCAGCCACTTCTGTCAATTTAAACACTCAACTTGCGCTATGGAACAAGCATGACTAAATTTCTCATGCAGTCTGTTAGTGTAAGTGAATATGGGGAACAAGTAAATTTGCATTAACTTCAGGCAATCGATGACATATGATACATTTATAATATAAACAAAACGAAAAGCTGGTTTGCACAAACCCAATCCACAGATCATGGTACACAGACGTGTTTCACTATACACAGAACAGAATGCTAATATGGTGTCCACACCAACACGCATGATCACAAAAGAGGCCAACGTCTCTTCCCGTAATTGTTTCTTTACCTCACTCACACATGACAACATGGACTTGGACACCAAGGATCCATCAAACTCCTGTGCAAACTTCAAAGGAGGGTCCTTTTTTAAGGTATCTTCCTTTTTTTTTTTTTTTTTTTTTTTTGGTATCCAATTGTTTAACCATTTTATGAGAAGATACCCTATCGGCGTTGCTGGCACGCTGCGCATGTCGTCGCAGGCTTTGTATTGGAAAATGTACAGTAATCACAGGACCAAAAGCCTGCACCCAAATTGTCTACATTTTTGCTCGACCCACCAGTTCGACTGGTTCCCTTTCCCCTACCACCTTTCCCTTTGCTGGATCCAGCTATGTTCTTTGAGCTCGTCGTTCCGCTGCAAGCCCCTTGGGAGTCCACATCTGATAGGCCATTCTCTAATGCCCTAACTAGGTTCTCGAAGTAATTTTTTGTCACCCTGTTGCATAAAGGATTTAACTGTTGATGGCATGCCATTGGAAAAGAAATGCATACACATTCTGAAAAAAACCAGGACTACCAAAATCATTGCAAAATTGTTAAGAATGTGGAAACAAATTCTCAGCAAAAGAAAGCATGAAAATCAACAAATCAAAGCAATGGGTACTGTAATAAAAAATCCCAATTCCAAAATCATTTAATTAGTTGAACTCCTTTGAAATGCAATACAGTAAGACAACCTTCCCAAGCAGACTGCATCAAAATGGGATGACACATCTCGAAGAAATAACAAGTGTTAGACACCCACATATTTAGGTTAGATTTTGGGCAGTCAAAGTCAGTAAATTAGGCTAAACTAGATGGAAACAATACCCCTAACAAAGACATTTGCAATTCTCCAGAGCCATTGAAAGCGTAAATTCTAACAGTCTCAAAAGTAATTCTCCCTCATCTTCAACTTGTTCTATAATGTATTAATTCAATTCTATAGTGATTAACCACCACAATAGAAATTACTCGATGTGGCTGCGTTGGTGGTGCATGGCAGAGCCTAGCTTGTCAATAATACATGGGCCCAACTAGATTTGTCGCAGCAGTTTGCTTACAGATCAGCTGTGGCTGGTCTAGGAATTGCGGAGGTGGCAAACAAGTCACTTATTTTGAGACATGAATTTGACATGAGAACAATAAATGAACTCACTTAAGATCATTCTGCCCTCGTTACCAACACCAAGGCAAAAGAGTTTACATGTTGAAGATCAAAGCTTAGCGAAACTGAGGAGAAAATTCAGAGTTCAATCCCTGAAAACCCCATTACAAATACTAGGGCTTATTACAGTGACGCCCCATGTATTTTACTAATATTACAGTGACACCGAAACTAATCACGTCAACACCCCCAAACTAATTTTGATATCCATAGGGTCCCATCCTTTTTCTAGAGAGAAAGGAAATTCACAGTTTACAAAGAAAATCAAAATATATTTAAACATAGCATGATTTGTAGATGGTACATACCTCGTAAGTCCAGCTAGCTTTGTACGAAAGTCATTGAATTCTTTCAATGGACCATCAGCAGTTAAGAACTGTTGTAGTTCCTTCTCTGCACATTGATGAAGCCTCTCCAAACCAGACTCTGCCTCACCTGCGCTCACAGGAAGGGCAGTCAAGCACCATATTCCGATTCAGTTACAGTTTTGAAAGAATAGTCCATAGATATTTATACCTTGCAAATACTCAAAAAACTGTCTCTTGGCATGCTCATGCTCGGGTAGGTAGAACCCATATGCATAGGTCCACTTCAGCACTCTTCTACATTCAACTATCTGCGAAAGGGCAAAAGGGGCACCATATGATTATTTCAGGATTGATTATAAAAATGGAACACAATTTCATCATAATGCCCGAGAAAATGTGTTTACAATTTTATTTAGGATTACTTAGAAAAGAAAACGAAGGTCGTGTTATCATAATATAGTTGGAGATTTACAGATTTAAAAGGCGGGGTTAGATTGAAACACACCGATAAAGTAAACATCTCCCAAGAAAATTGTGACAGGTTATTACAAAATTACAAAGGGATCGTAACAGTCTTTTATTGAAAAAAAAAAAAGAAAAAAAAAAATCAATTACAAAGGGATCGAGGACAACAGGTCCTCACAAAAGAAACAAAACTGACAAAAAAATAAAAAACAAAAAATGAAAATGAAAGAAAACTAAAAATTGAAAAGTGACAAACACATACAATCAAACCCCCCCACCCCCACACATACAATCAAATATATTAATATTACAAAAAAATAAAAAAGAAAATAATAAAACTTAATAAATTGAAATCAGATTTCAAAAAGAAAATAATATATATATATATTTAGTAAATGAATATAATTAATGTAATGCATTATTGAATTGACTTAATGCATTATTGAATTGACTTAATGCATCCTGTAAGTATTTCACATATTCCTTTTTTCCGAACAATAAATGGGAAAATAAATAAATAAAATTGAAATGAAAAGCGTCCATCCTCAAAATCGAAACCGTCCAAATCAGAGAAATTACAACACTCTTCCACGTTAGCCATCACTTGATGCAAAACTGATGGGTTTCTCCAAAAACATTAAATTACATTGAGCTAATGCATCCTGTAAGTATTTCACATATTCCTTTTTTCCGAACAATAAATGGGAAAATAAATAAATAAAATTGAAATGAAAAGCGTCCATCCTCAAAATCGAAACCGTCCAAATCAGAGAAATTACAACACTCTTCCACGTTAGCCATCACTTGATGCAAAACTGATGGGTTTCTCCAAAAACATTAAATTACATTGAGCAGGAAACAACCATATAAAACCAGCTTCGCGGGAAACTTTATTCCACAGGATCCTAACCACAGAACAATGGAGAAACAGGTGATCAATTGATTCCTCTGCATTTTACACAAATCACACCAGGTGATCCATTGATTTCTTTGAACCCTTTCACACGTATCAAGCCTCTTATGGAAAACCAAACCAGCAAACACCTTAACCCCATTCCAAAAAAGGATTTACAAGGAGGATCACATGACTAATCTTTTGTCCAGAATAGATGCTTCAGAAAAAAAAATTTCTCCTGAGCCAGGAGAAAAGAGTTCAAATCCTCCAACTACATCATTTGAATTCCGTCTAACCAAATTTCAAATTACAACAATTGTCAAGAGAGCGAACAAATATTGGCATAGAGGCAGATTGAACATTAGGCAGCCTGAACAACCAGGAAAAGTGATGGAGGAAGATTGCTCACCACACCAGGCATCCTTCCGCACAAATAAAAATAAATGGGAAAATACACAATATAGCATATTTTATATCTATGTTTAAAGTAAATAGCATTTTTTTTAAATGTTAGTAAATTATAGCATATGTTTAATTTTTATATTTTAAAGTAAATTAATCTTTTAAAAATTTACCCTTTCTTTTAGGGTTTTGCAATACTCTCTCTCACCAGCCATTTCATTCTCTCTCTCTCTCTCTCTCTCTCTCTCTCTCTCTCTCTCTCTCTCTCTCTCTCTCTCTCTCTCTCTCTCTCTCTCTCTCTCTCTCTCTCTCTCTCTCTCTCTCTCTCTCTCTCTCTCTCTCTCTCTCTCTCTCTCTCTCTCTCTCTCTCTCTCTCGACAACTTCAACGAGCGACTTCCAAATCGTGCGTTTCAGATCGCGACGTCCTCTCGGTGAACATCGGCAGAGAAATTCAGGCAGCGCCTCTCTCTCTCTCTCTCTCTCAACGACTTCAACGATCTCCGGCGGTGACTTCCAAATTGTGCGTTTCAAATCGCGACGTCCTCTCAGTGAACGTCGGCTTAGAAATTCAGGCAGCGCCTCTTGAGTTTTCTCCTTGAACATCTTCTCGGCAAACGTCAGCTCAGAAATATTGGAGGGCAGCCATCAATGCTGGAAAACTTCGGCTTTTGCTTTGGCAATGAAGTCGACGCCGCCAATCGTCTGCACTCTCTCCGGTGGGACCTCAAACCAGATCCGGCAGAGGAGATCGCCATGATCACCAGGAATGTTGCCGATGATCGCGAAGTCGAGCGCTTGTCTTCTCTGGCGCCGTCAAGAGCGACTGTCGTCAGCTGATCTGCTTTCTCTCTCTTCATCCCAGGTCTCTCTTTTTCTCTATCTCTCTCTCGCTCTCTCTTTTAGAACGCTTTCTTGCTGTTGATCTCTACAAAATCGCCTCCAACTCTGACCAAGGTCCGGTGACAATGGAGGAGATCACCACCTTTTTCGGGAACCAAATCTGGCAAGACGAATTGCCACCTTCAAGCCAGACCAGATCCAGTCGACCACCAACAACCTTTTTCTTTTGTTTTTTATTTATGTGTTTGTATATTTTGGGCATTGTATTTTTTTCCAAGTAATTTTTGGTGATTCTAGCTGTTTGTGAATTTTGTTTATTACTTTTGAGTTTTGAGTAAATATTGTATTTTCAGATAAATACATCACTAAATCCAATTTCAAACCTGGTAAATGTTGTATTTACCAGTAAATACTTATCTGAATTCGAGTTTGAATATGGTAAATACTGTATTTATACTTCACTGAATTTAAGTTTGAATATGGTAAATATTGTATTTACTAATAAATACTTCACTGAATCTGATTCCCAATCTGGTAAATACTATATTTACTAGTAAATACGACCAGTAAATATGGCATTTAACGGTCGCCGAAGTCGGTGGCCGGATTTTCGCAATAATATGATATTTAAGAGTAAATTCGGTATTTACCGGATGTCAGTGTTGGTGGCTAGATTTTCAAATAAATATGGTAAATATGGTATTTACTGGTAAATACTGTGTATTTACCAGTCGCCAGAGCTGGTGCGCCGAATTTTAGGATAAATATGGTAAATATGGTATTTACCAGTAATATTGTATTTACCGATAAATACAGTATTTACCAGTCACTAGAGCCGGTCGCCGAATTTTCAAATAAATATGGTAAATATGGTATTTACCAGTATATATGGTATTTACCGGTCGCCAGGGCCAACCGCCGAAAAAATGTCTCCGGATGCTAGAAAATGGTCATCGAAAAATGGCCGCCGGTCGCCGGAGCAGGCCATGGTTGACTTGACTATAGGGAGAAGAAGAGGTGTGGGAAGCTTAAGGGTATTTTTGGCTTTTTAATAATGTTTAAATCTTAAAATATCAAATTATGATATAATCTACTATTTTAAAAAAATATGCTATACTTTACTAAACATCCTATTAAATATGCTATTTCCCTCCTTCACAAATAAATGAATGAATAAATGAATTCCCACTAGTTCCCATAATCACATCCTACTTTAACAAAGAAAGGCATTTAGCCCTGACAAAATGGTTTTTACGCAGATGTAGAACCAATGAGAGAAGAGAGGAAAAAATTCCATGTGATAAAAATTCAATGCCAAAAAAAGACATCCCAGAGGCATGCCAGGCACATACATGTGATAAAAATTCCATCCCAAGAACAAAAAGAAGGGGCCTTACTCTAATTATTTACCCATATCATCTCTACTGCTAATCAAAACAAATATTATAGAAATCATAATAAAGTCCCAAGTGTGCTGCACTTATATGAGCTGCCCCCTCTGTTCGATACAGACATTTATCCGATTCCATAGCTCATGAATCTATTTTTAAACTCTTTCCATTGGTCATCACCCTATATTTACATGATAGAAGAAGGATGTGCTAAAACCTTCAAGGTCTATTTGACTTCAGAAAAGACACCATTTCACACCTATATGATTGATTATGAAATCATCATTTGGATTTAATAATGTATGATCAACTGGATTAATTAGGGTGGCTATAGCTCTAACTCCAGCAAAACTTTATTACAATACACACACACACACACACACACAAAACATTGATTAAGTTCCATAGTACTTTTTTTTTTTTTTTTTATACCCAAAAATCCCCCGAACCCACTTTGTGAGTCCGAGTTAGAAACTGGAGCCTTCCGCCAAACCCTACAATTTTTTAAAGGTAGAAAACTATGACATTTGTCATTCAGGTGCCTATGAGGTGGTTCAAATCACAGATCTTGTGGGAGTAAACTGAAGACCTGACCATTCAGGCTGAAATTCATCCAATATATCATAACAATAATCTTGATAACTCACCTGTTGCCATGCCTCTGTAATGAACTTGAGCTGTGACTCAGGTTGGCTTTGTGTCTCACTGAGCTTCTCCATCTGGGGGGAAATACACAACCCAAGATTCCATCAATCAGCTATTTGCAACCGGTGGTAACATTTAGCCAAAAAGCACAAACATAATCACATGGTTGTGATGTGTAATGATTAGGAGACACTTGCATGGAAGTTTGTACTTACATGGACAGTTTGCATTAGATGCAAATCTGCAAGTGCTTTCTGCCTCGACTGCCAAACAAGAACACAGACTTTTAAAAGTGGATTGAAGTGGAAGTAGCACCATAAGCTTTTACAGGACAAGTATAACTATTTTAGTCTCCTTCTCGCGGCCTAAATAACTTATTTCACATAGGATTAATGGACGCACAGGCATTATTTCAAAAACACAAAAACACACTAGACACACGATCTGCGCCGTCCATTATTCTTCAAGAATTCCAGCGTTTTTACCTTAAAAATGTTAAGATCAACTCAAAGCATAAAGGAAGGTATGATATCTTATTGAAGCACAGCTTTAAAGAAAAAGTAAAAAACTCAGCTTTCAACATCTTATTGAAGGCAAAATACAATGAAAACGAAAATTAGGAAGAGGGTAAAGAAGAAAATTTTTCAGGGAGTGTGCTGTCATGGACCATGAACTATATATTAACAACTGTTACATACATAACATGCATGAAATGATGAAAGCCCCAAAAAAATCATGACAAAAATGCTCTCTCCAATAAATGAAAATCCTAACGCAACTAACACCATTTTTCAAGCAAAAACAAATAACGCCATTTAAAGGGAATGGAAGTGATCATTTAAATCCCTGGTATAGTATACAAAATATGGGGGAAAAAAAGGGAAAAACTTGGGGATACCAATTGATTGCTCGCCCAACGTTCATAATAATGAGTGTATCTCTCCAAAGAATTCTTGGCCATTTCTCTTCTTCTCTCCGCTTCATCGTACTACAAGCACCAAAAAGAAATTTAGAACAAAAAATAGTTATTCTAGAAAGACAGCAACAATGTTCAAGAACCCAGCTAATTATTATCTAAAATTTCAAACAGAAAATATTAGATTCCGTACAGCTCCCTCTTGCTTAGCTGCTTCATAACGGTTACAAGCATAGAAACCACCTGTCCTCTCACCATGATCTGCCCATGCTCCAAGACACAGCCTGCACATATTTGGAAAAAAGCATTTCCCACACATGTATTAATTCAGATTATCAAAAAAAATTAATAAGAAGTTAGGGTAGTTATAAAAAATTTAAATAACAAGCAAGTTACTTAAGAATAACAAAACAAATTGCTCTCATCCAGTATCAGCAAACTTTCATAATTAACAAGAAATAAAATTCAGGACATTAACTTCGCCAATAAATCTATATTACTGAATATCAAACTCACCAGCAAAATTCAAATTTACATGGGGGTGTGCATGTCATATGCATGCACCCTTGGTTTTTCTCGATAGGCCGCTTGCACTTAGGACATGGCTTGGAGTTAGCAAGTATCCTGAAAATTAAAAATAAAATAAAAAAAACAAGGAACTGCACATCAAATCTACTCAGAAGTTTTTTTTTCAAATAAAAAAAGAAAAAGATAAGTAAATTTTTTATTTCTCAAGTTGCATAGCTTTTTTCTTTCATTCTTTGTAATCCTTTCTTCAAACAGAAGGAACAAAGATAGCATCAGTCCTTTTCATCAATGGTTTTGAACTTCAAAATTGAATTTCTTGATCAGTGCAGGAATAATATCTTATTTTGTTGAATAAAATCAAGAAACCTATTTGTACACTTTCATATCAAAGTAACATGATCATTTCCAGTAGTACCGCTGCTGTCTTTTTTAAAGCTTTTGGAGTCTCTGGAACTATATTGTATGGCTTAGCATTTGCCATGATTCAATTTTTCAGTCCCACTCATTATCTGCTGGTAATGTTTCTAGTTGATGTTCCTTAGGAAGACAAGTCAACCAGGAACTGGCCAAAGAATTCAGTCTTTACATCCACGAGCAACATATTCTATTATGGCGACTACTTTTTAATCTGTTATGAATAAGCCATTTCTAAAATGAAGTCACTATGTCAAGTACCAAGAATGAATTCTCCCAATACTAATTGATATTAGGAGAGTACCATGTTTAGAATAGATAATCAACATGGAACTCGGAAACGAAGAGCACAACAGTGTTATAGAACACAACAAAAACAGACACAGGACCTCTAATATGCTTCTTTAAAATTTGTCTTCTATAGTCTTCATTTCACGAATTTTCCCTAACAAATATTACCAGTTCATGTTTTCAGACTCAGCACTGTTCTTCAAAATCCACTTTGCTACAGTGACACAGTCCACCGGACGATGAGCTTCCTCCGTGCACTACAGGTACAACAAAATATAGTGACTGACACTGTACAGTAACGAAAAAGAGGGGAAAAGGGGGAAAGTTTTAAGATACTTACATTCCAGCAAAATCCGTAAGTACAGAGGCATGAAACATCATAGTTTTCATTATCACCAACAAAATTTACAGCATAATCACAACCCGGTGCAGGACACCACTTGGTCTAGATTACAGGCAGAAAAAAATGAAAAGATTAGGTATTCCTATCAAAATATTCAAAAAAAAAAAAAAAAGATTAAATAGATAGTGAAATGAAGGTGGGATTCATCCAACGAACTAGATGACTGAAAAAGTCACCATTACAGATGAATCAGTAATCATTAAATATACATTATAGCTTCAGCCAGAAAAGAAAGAAAAAAAAAAGTTCCAAATATATATCAATAGGGGGAGAGACCCAAAAAAAAAAAAAACAGAGAAAATGTCAAGAGCAAGTTGATTATAAACATGACACACGCACAAGATTAAGCATTGGATAACAAAAGACTAGGGAGTTGAACTTCAACACATTGAAAAAGAAAAGAAACAACATGAGACAGAATTAACAGATACATGCCACCATTCAATTCAGATAACCTCATATCAATTTTTTTCTTTTTAGTTCAATTTTAACCGGTAAAGAACTTTGGCCATATTAGCGTACTGTATAAGTGTATGCTGGAACAAGAACTTGATGTTATGCAAATATGGGACAAGACATCCCTGCTAACTTCATCAAGAAATTGCTTTCTCCGTCGTTTATGCATACAAAATAAATAAAATATAGGCCTAATTATTGCACAGAAAAGAAATAGGAATTATTGAACAGCACAGCATAAATAAAAACCATCACATATGGTTTCTATTCAAATACAAGCTGATATCCCAACGTAAAAAAGGCACAAAAGAGGTGTTCTCAACAATTGTAGATGCAAATGTTGATGCAACTATCTAACTCACCTTCTTGTTGTCTTCTATATAAGATCTATGAAGGTAACGAGAGTACTTCCTCAAATCTTCATCAGAAACCAACGAATTGATCATGTCTCGACCAACAGCAGCGCCACAAGACGGATCCGGGCACCTCAGCAGCAAACATCCAGGACCATCATTAATTGATGTACTGATGTAGCCTATCATGATATGTAACGAACGGCAGAAGAAAGACACATGTGAGCTCCTTAAAAAAAAAGGGGTACAGAAAATGGGGTCGGGAAGAAGGGGGAATTGGCATATAATATAAACGGGGAGGTAAAAGCATGATAGCAGAAAGAATAGGTGAATGCTACTAAAGATCATGTGAATCAACAGCAACTCAATACCAACAAAACGTGCAAAAATTAAAATTGACATTGTCATTTAAAAGGACAGAAAATTAGAATCTATGCACAACACTCAAATTGGGGAGGACAATAGAGGAATAACAGAAGCATTATATAGTAAATAACATGAACAAAATTTTGAGCAACAACCAAAAACACCAAAAATTTTGCATTTTACCCGGTCTGCATTCTGAATCAGTGCAGAACAAACAAATGAATTAAATATAGCAAATTAAAATCCAAAAGAAAGAAGTGAAACAAACCTGCCCAGCAAGCACTACAGAAAGGATGACCACAGGCAGCTGATTTAATTCTACCACGAGGAAAGGATTCAAAACAGATGCCACAAGTAAGCTGCAGAATGGATTATGGTGGAATCAAAGGATATCATGATCAATGTATGGCATGGAGAGGAGGAAGAAAAAAAAAACAAACAAACAAACACATACATAACAACAACAACATCTGATCCAAAGAGTCACAATGAATATCTAGATAGCTTACTTCTCTATAATTGGGAAACCAAATGACTGGCTCCTCCAATAAACCAACTGCTTTTCTTACTCGTTCTTCATCAGCAAACCACGCTTCATGCACTTTACTTACACTCCTGCGAGACCAAACTTTCTTTAAAACAATAACATAGGAGAGAACAAGAGAGAGAAGTAGTTTATCATATAAAACAAATAAATGGAAATTGCAAGGCCAGAAATGATATGCCACGTTATTGTAGTAGCATCATAAAGTCCCAGCTGTGATGCCTAAAACCAAGATCTTGTAATGGAGAGAACTATCATTTGGTCTTGGTTAAAAACTTTAGATTTTACAGAAGTTCTTAACTTCTGAAAAAAGAAATGCAGAATATCATGTGAAATACTGCAAACTACAATAAATAATAAATGAGGCAAGATAATAGTGCTCTATATATCCATAATCAAGACAACACATGAATATGAACTATAGAAATCAGCAGCCATAAAACGGTAGTTTACCAATTACAATGTCGGAGTAAGATGCATGCAGTATCTCGTGAAATAGAAAGAACAGTTGATACACTTGTAATGTCATCCTCTTGTCGTTGTTCTATGTCTGAGTCCTTCAAGATAATATAATTATTCTGAAATAGATAGCAGACATTTAATTGGAGGAAACAAAAAAAAAATGGGGTTGATAAACCAAGAAATTACTAATGAGCACTAAAACTAATAGAAAATTGCACTGCTTGAATTTTTTTCATGTCAAAGAAACAAGAGATTGTTGACATATTAGAACTCCTCGAAAAGAAGCAAATCAAATATTTTTCAAATTGACCATTTTAAAATTAAATTTTGTAATTCATCTATTGGTGTTACGTCCTAACCCATACATATGTCAGATAGGTTTTCATTACGACGTGACAAGAATTTGAAGGGAAAAAATAAAATAAAATAAAAAAAAAAACCACTGTGGAAGTGTATTATTGTGTTAGCTGCTTTGTGGTGACTCGGATGGAATGGAAAGAAACGGCAGACGTCTCAAACAGGAACAGAATTTGGAAGAGTTAAATAATCAGCATCTCTTTGAGCATCGGCAGACAAAACTTTTAGGATAGCCACTCTCTCTGATCCTTTTAGATTGGAAGAATGTTTACGGGTCGCAAATTCTATACGGTCTGCTTCTGCTTACGGGTTTTTTCTTCTACTTTTTGGCCGCTCTAAGAACGTATTGTCCTTTTGGCCAAGTATTTGGTCAGAATGTATTGCTTTTGTATATGAAAGTTCGCCTCTTATCCAAAATAAATAATGAATAAGCACATTGTTAGGGATCATCTATTCAAACACACATATACATAAGTAAAGTTTCTGAATTTACATCAGATATCTATACACAGCCACTAGCAAAGATCTCTAACACAAAAAATCTAAATTCATCAAATATCAAATGATCAAGCTTCTTAATAACTAGACAGAACTTCAAATCCTTCCTCATTTTTTTTTTTTTTTACAATTGAAATTCCAAGGTTCTAGATTAAGAAACCAGTGTAGAACCCTTAATTCAAGAGAAACAGAACTAATTGAAATCTCCATAATCATTTACTTATAAAACTCAGAATGTAAATCGAAATAGCAATGCTCGCGATCATCAAGCATGTAAATTTCCTGAATTTTCTCAAGCTTTCTCGGGAACCAAACTAGAAGATCATCTACTTGCAAAAATTGAGCAGAAAAAGGAATCGGAATCACCTCGGGGCGACGAGACTGGATCCTCTCGAAGTCCTCGGAGTCGTCCTCGACCACGTAGTCGACGTCGGCGTCGTCGTCGCTGCAGTAGTAGTCGAAGCCCATTTCGTCGCTGTAGAAGCCCTCGTCGTCCTCGTCGACGGACTCCATGTCGTTAGCGTCGTGCATATCGTCCTCGGAGTCCATCGCCGGAGTGGACAATTCACCAGCACGAAACCCTAGGCGACGGTCGGGAGTGCGTTGCCGAGAAACTGGGCGAAAGAGGAAAATGTAATCAGAAAACTGTCGAGGGGTTTACTATATATATATTTTTTTGGAATTTCATTTTTTCCCTTTCCCAATATCTCTTCTCAGTTAACTATACTAATTTATTGTTTTACGGTCATTAGCAATTTAATCCTTTAATTATTCTAGTTGGCATAAGTATTTTAACTTTTTTTTAATATGGAAATGTAAAATTCCTTTTAAAAGTTTAGGTTTTTTTATTTATTATTTATTTTAAGTGTTGACTTTAGTAAAAAAATTATTTTAGTAAAGCATATCTAAAGATAATAATAGGTTTTTATTGTTATAAATTATCCATTGAATTATTTATTGGGTACTTATGGAAAAAAGTAATTGGAAGTATTTGAAGGGAAAAAATTGTTTGGGTAGGTCATATTTTATAAAATATTTCAAAAGAGAAATTAGAGAAAAATAGTTAGGATGACCATATTTACAAAAATATTACTTACGGAATCACATATTTGAAAAAAGTTATTTAATGTTAAACATTTCAAAATTAAGATATAAGATGTATTATGGTCACACACTCCAAAAGATTCCACCATGAAAAAAAAAAAGAAATATATATATTTTTTTTTTATCTTTGGGTAAATAAAAAGAGCTTTAGGATATGTAGGTGGGTTTTTCCTTTTTTTTTTAGTAAAGAAATTACGCCATGTTCATTTACATTTTTTAAGTTAGAGTGATTTGAATTCATATTTTAATTTGAGTTAAGGTTTATGGTTTGAGTTGGAACTCTAATTTAAGTTTGTGTTTGGATGTATACATTTTGAGTTATGATTTGAATTGAGAATCTATTTGAGTTTGTGTTTGGGTTGATTAAAATTTAAATTTGTATTTGTATAGTATTTTAATAAAAACTCAATGGTAATGGAAAATTTTAATAGAGTATATAGGTGGGGTTTTATTCGTCTCTTCATTGTGAACGCATAAAAAATTATCTCAATCGCAATTAAAATGAAAAAGTTATACCGTTTTTAAGAATAGTAAAAGTATTGTTCATTAACTTGAGTTAAAAAGAGAACTTGAACTCAAATTTTAGTCTCAAACTCAAGTTCAAACTCAAATTTTACAAAAGAATATGACCTAAATAAAGTTATAACTTGAGTTTTTTTTTGCGTTTGGGTGCTAATGAACAAGTCCTAATACAATCACTTATCACTAAATGCAATTAGTTGGCTTTCGCCGACCACCCATTTCGGATGTTTCTGCTTCTTATGCGTCCATACATTGTTGTTGTCCATGTTGCCCTTCTTGTTCTCCCTCGATATCTTCTAAGGGCAAATGGACATCATATTGTCTAAATAGAGAATCATCTCACGCGTGCATCTTAATTAAATTGTGGATCACGCAACAAGCAATTGGTATAAGCGATTGTCTTGGCATCCAATAATTGGTCATAAGCCTAAGAATTTTAAACCTTGCTTTCAAGACCCCAAAACACCTCTCTATGTAATTACGCAGTGAAGAGTGATAATAATTGAATAACTCTTATGATCCCGTTGGTTGGCCACCGTTTTTAAACTGTTGAATATGGTACATTTGACTACGAAATAATGCTAAAAAGCCTCGCGTGTTGCTGTAACCGGAATCCACAACATAATATTTTGAGTTTGGTGGCACCAAGAATTGGTTCTCTGGATCTCTCATTATCTCAGTTAACACTCTGGAATCCAAACACACTTGTTCCTCAGTTAACAACAACCTCAACAACCTTACATATTATAATCAACTGCTCATGTGAAAGGAGAGTTTCAGTTCGGTCAAAAGAGGAATTTGAGTGTTAAATTTTAATTACCATAGTATTATTAAAAGTATGTGAAATTTGAATATAAAATCGTAAAAAGAAAAAAATGAAAAAAAAAATTTGACGACAAAAAAAGGGTTAAAAGGGACTAAAATGAAAAAAAAAAATAAGTTTTAAGACTAAGGGACCAAAAAAAAATAAAGTTAGGGGTCAAAAAATGACCAGAATTAAAAAATAAATAAATTTTAGAGAAAAAGAAACCAAAACAAAAAATAAAATAAAGTTTCAGTAAAAAATAAAAAGGACTAAAATAAAAAGTAAATAAATTTTAGGGTAAAAATCCAAGAAAAAATAAGAGAAGGAACTTGAAAAAAAAAAAAGAGGAAAGGAGGAGCACTTTCGACTAAATTGGTGTTGTTTTGGTCGAAAGTGCTCAAACAATGAAGCACTTTGGCATTTCTATAATATAGATATAGATTATATAAAAAGATCAAATTAAACTAAACATTTTCACTTTTCAGGAAAAAAAAAATAACCTAATCATGATTTAAGATTGTTTTAATTATCATTTTTTATGGAATAATCAATCTTTCTCCCAATTTAATTAACTTTAAATATTTTTTAAAATAAATGTCACATCATCAATTCTGTTAGCATTATACACGAAAGTGGGTAGAGGAAGTGATTTGATCTATTTTCTATAGACAGGGAATGTTTTGAACTATTTTACAAAATTAATGGGCATTTTAAAATAGACTACATAATTCGAGAGTATTTATGAAAGAACTTATTAATTTTAATTCCATTAAAAATGTAATTAAATATTTATTAAAAAAAATGTAATTGAATAAATGAATAGCTTAAAGGGAATTGTCTATAGTCATCACCAGTAGAATATAAGTGCCAGCCAGAATGGCTTCTACTTTAATTTGTTCATATCAAAGTATTTATTGTAGGCGTGAATATATACTCTAAATTCCATCCACATCATTTCATGTTGGTTTCGCCCCCCTCCGTTTTTTATTTTATTTTTATAATCTTATATTTTAAATTAATTACATTTATCAAAATACTTTTTTCTTAATTAATTTGACACCATGAGAATTTTTTTCCTTAAATATAGTTTCTTACAATACACAGATATTAATTTATCAAATGTGACCTTCATATACACTTCTTTTTTACTTCTCCACGTTAATGTTGTCAAATGTACTACTAAATCATCAAAAGTTAAAACCCCACAATTTCAACGGCAAATGTGCAAAATACACTTAGGTCTCGTTTATTTCACCAATTCGAGTTTTCAATTCCAGTTTTGCTATGCTAAAAGCTCTCACAAAAATCATAGTTATGATTATAGAATTATGATTAAAATCACTTTAGTTTGAATTCTCATACCAAATAAACCCTAAATAATCAAAAGTTAAGAAGACGTTTGGTTAATAGATTAGAATCATGATATTAGAATTATTTTCGATTTACGTGTTTTTTTATGAGAGAAAACACTATAACGAATTATGAACTATAATTCGAATTAGGTACGAATCTCTCAACCAAACAATCCTTAAGTGTCCACTAACAGCAAATTAATCTTGACCAAATTTGCTCAAGAGAAATATATTTAAGCAAACCCCTTGAATAATATAAATAGCAGACTCAAGTAAAGAGTCATTTATTCGTCGATAATATGATAAAGTATTCCATGAAAAACAAAAGTCCGTGTGTTTGGAATACCAGAAAAGGATAATTTAATTGTAATATAAGAATATGAAAATCAATTACAATGGATTAAGTAGCAGATGCAAAAGAAGTCCCCGGGTGTGTTCATATGACAGGCGCCATATTTGCTGTTTGCTCCGTAGGCGATGGTGCATTTGCGCGTACACATGTCGTCCTTGCAATCTGGTCCCACATCATACAGCGTTTTCGGGCAAGTCTGCGCTGAAACGCTGCCTGCAATCATATCATCATCATCATCAAAACCATATCTCTACACGCAGGCACACATATATATTATCCTGTACAGATTTTCTACATCGATCACTACAAGAAAAACAGAAATACTATGTACCTCTAGAGTATCGATAGATCATGTTTTTATGTGATTTTATGCATATTTAACGGATAAAAAATTTAACTTATTAATATAATAACATACTGAAAAATATATAAAAAAAGACTTTGTGCAAGGAGGAATGGATTTATACTACCTGCTGCAATTAAAACAAGAAAAAGCAACAGAATGGCTGAAATTAAAGAGCTCTTCATTATTTGATTTTTGTTTTTTTTTTTTTTGAGATGGTGCAGGAAATAGTTGAGGCTAATGGGTTGTGGTGTATTTGTCTGGCACATTCCAGTACTATTTATAAGTTGGATGGGAGGGAAGGAGAAATCACTGCATTAAATTTTCAAATCTTAAAGAATCAACATGTAGAGGAAAATATGTACGTCATTAATTATTAGTTTCCCCCTTTTTTTCTGTGAGTATAGGATAATGATTTAAATTTTCTTACTATGGTAAAGTATCGAGAGTATTCATCACACACACGCGCACATATATATATATATATATATATATGAGAATCAACATGTAGAGGAAAATATGTACGTCATTAATTATTAGTTTCCCCCTTTTTTTCTGTGAGTATAGGATAATGATTTAAATTTTCTTACTATGGTAAAGTATCGAGAGTATTCATCACACACACGCGCACATATATATATATATATATATATATGGAAATAAAAAAAATTTAATTAAAAAAAGGCTATTAAATAAAATAATAAAAATGGACAATAGATTTAATTATATAATTAAATTTTATTTTTCTCGTCACACACCCCATATATTATATTCCTAAATTATGAACTATTTTTATTTCACAAATACATAGCAAATAATTTTTACTTGTTAATGACTATTCTAAAAAATTACATGAAGGTAGTTCAATTTTCTTTACTATTTGTTATATGAAGATTTTTTTTGGTACTGTTTGGCTTTGTTTTGTGTTCATATTTGTTTGCTAATCATTTTTTGAGCTAATCGTTTCACCTTTTGTTTCTATATTTTATAATGCAAGACAATGGGGTTTTTCCTTTTGATTCTTTTTTTTTTTTTTATAATGTTGCTTGTCCTCATGAGGTAGTATATTACTAGACTTTTGTCTGCTATCAAGTATCGAATCAACATTGAATATAATGCAACTCAACTCACATTTTTATTTTTTTTTTCATTTAACTTTTCA